AAGCTATCCACCTCAATATTACCTCTGGAGAAACCCTCATGATCTATGGCGATAAACTCAATTCAAACCTCTGTATCATCTCATGCATCAAAGCCCAAAAACTTCTGCGAAAGGAGTGTCTTGCATTCCTAACCCATGTTATTAAGGAAAAACAGGAAGTTAAAGACCTCGAGAGCATCCCCGAAGTCTGTAACTTTCCTGATGTCTTTACTGAAGAGCTTCCGGGAATTCCTACCGAACGCCAAGTCGAGTTTCGCATGGACTTAATCCCCGGAGCTACCCTCGTAGCTAAATCCCCATACCGCCTAGCACCAATAGAAATGCAGGAGTTATCCAGCCAGCTCAATGAGTTGCTCAGCAAAGGATTCATCAGACCAAGTTCCTCACCCTGGGGAGCCCCGGTTTTATTTGTGAAAAAAAAGGATGGATTTTTCGGATGTGCATCGACTACCATGAACTGAACAAGCTCAGTATCAAAAACCGTTACCCTCTTCCTCGAATCGAAGACCTCTTTGATCAACTTCAAGGAGCCAGCTACTTCTCGAAGATAGACCTAAGATCAGGATACCATCAGCTGCGAGTCTACAAGAGCGATATTTCTAAGACAACATTTCCGACTCGGTATGGTCACTACGAGTTCGTAGTAATGCCCTTCGGTCTAACCAACGCACCGACAGTATTCATGGACCTGATGAATCGGGTATGCCTTCCTTTCCTGGACAAGTTCGTTATCGTGTTCATCGACAATATACCTGTCTACTCCAGAAACGAGGAAGATCACAAACAACACTTGAGATTAGTGCTGGAAACTCTAAGAGCGGATAAGGTTTATGCGTAATTCTCCAAGTGAGAATTCTGGATTCGAAAAGTAACTTTTTTGGGTCACGTGGTAAGCGAGGAAGGCATACACGTGGACCCCTCCAAAATCAAATCAAAAGAGAACTGGTCAGCACCGAAGACGCCCACAAAGATTCGTCAATTCTTGGGCCTCGTTGGCTATTATTGCAGGTTCATCCAAAATTTCTCCAGAATTGCCAAACCCTTAACCACTCTGACACAAAAAAGTGTACCCTTTTGTTGGAGTGAAAAACAAGACGCTGCGTTGCAAACGTTGAAGCAGACCCTATGGAGCGCATCTATCCTGTCTTTGCCTGAAGGGACGGAGGACTTTGTTGTCTACTGCGATGCATCTTATCAGCGCTTAGGCTGTGTGCTCATGCAGCGTGGAAAAGTTATGACTTATGCCTTAAGACAGTTGAAAACACACGAAGTCAATTATACAACTCACGACCTGGTGTTGGGAGCAGTGGTCTTCGCATTGAAGATATGGAGACATTACCTTTACGGAACCAAGTGCACAATCTTCACCGATCATAAAAGCCTGCAGCATATCTTCGACCAGAAAGAGTTGAACGTGAGACAACGACAATGGGTAGAGCTACTCAACGATTATGAGTGTGAAATACGCTACCATCCCAGTAAGGCCAATGTGGTGGCGGATGCCCTTAGCTGGAAGGAATGTTCAGGTAGTAGAGTGAAGGTACTAACAATGACTATCCACTCCCACTTATCCGCACAAATCAGAGAGGCTCATCTAGAGGCCTTAAAGCCAGAGAACGTGTTGGGCAAAGTCTTAAGAGGAATGGAGAAGAAACTAGAGATCAAGGGAGACGGAGTTTATTGTTTCATGAACTGGATCTGGACCCCAAAGTTCGGTGGTTACAGAGAGGTTGTCATGAATGAAGCTCACAAGACTATATACTGTGTTTATCTCGGTTCGGACAAGATGTACCTTGATCTCAAGAAACTATATTGGTGGCCAAACATGAAAGCAGAAATTGCTACCTTCGTGGGCAAGTGTATTACTTGCGCCAAGGTGAAGGTTGAATATCAGAAGCCCTCAGGTTTGCTTCAGCAGCCAGAGATGCCTGAGTGGAAATGGAGAGGATTACCATGGATTTCATTACCAAATTACCCAGATCTCCGAGTGGGTACGACACCATCTGGGTAATAGTCCACCGACTGACAAAATCCACTCGCTTACTGCCAATAAAAGAAACATTCAAAATAGAGAGGCTCACACGAATCTACATTCAAGAGATAGTTTGACTGCACAGGGTACCTCTGTCCATTATCTCCGATCGAGATAGCAGGTTCACCTCGAGATTTTGGCAGTCCCTACAGAAAGCTCTTGGAACTAAGCTGGACATGAGTACAGCTTACCATCCTCGGATAGATGGGCAGAGTGAGAGGATCATCCAGACCTTGAAAGACATGTTGCGAGCATGTGTCATCGACTTCAGTAAATCGTGGGACACCCATTTGCCCTTGGTTGAATTGTCCTACAACAACAGTTATCATACCAGCATCAAGGTTGCACCGTTGGAAGCACTCTATGGCCGCAAGTGCAGATCCCCTCTGTGCTGGGTTGAGGTGAGCGACACGCAGGTAGACAAGGGGTCAAGTCCGTGATAACACTCTCACAGGCCCATAAATCATCTGCGAAACCACATATAAGATCATACAAATCCCGGAACGACTGAAAGCTTTGAGAGATCGACAAAAGAGCTACACTGAAAAACGATGAAAACCCTTGTAGTTCCAGGTCGGAGACCATGTGCTGCTGAAGGTCTCCCCCTGGAAAGGCATGATACGCTTTGGAAAGCATGGAAAGCTAAATCCGAGGTACTTAGGACCATTCGAGATCCTTGCTAGGATCGGTCCCGTAGCCTACAAACTTCGTTTAACGCACGAACTTAGAAACATTCATCCTGTCTTCCACATTTCAAATCTTAAGAAATGCTTGTCCGACATAACCCTTGTGATTCCCCTCGATGAGATTGAAATCAAAGAGAACCTTAACTTCTTGGAAGAACCGTTCGAAATCATGGATAGAGAGATCAAATGAACGAAACAAACTCGCATCTCGACAGTGAAAGTTCACTGGAACGCCATGCGGGGACCTGAATTCACTTGGGAGCTCGAAGTTCAGATGAAATAGAAGTATTCACACCTCTTTCCTAATCCATGATTTGTATTCTAGGTTAGAATTTTAGGATGCAATTCCCTCTAACGGGGGATGATGTGACAACACGAAACTTTTTCTGTTATCCTTACCCAATTTCCGTTAATAAAATTTGGGTTTTTATTAAATTCCGTCAAATTTCTTAGTTTAGGAAAGACTTTACGTTTTAAATAAATAATGTGTAATTTATACTTGTCGGAATAAAACGGAAATCATGCGAAAAACTTGAATTTCCTCGAAAAACACCAAGTTCACGGTCCAAGACGAGTTTACGGTCGTAAACTCAGTTGACGACCGTAAATCCTGTTTACGGTTGGAGTCGGGTGGACCCCACTCACCGACCACAAAATCTCCTATAAATATGAGACCCCCACCCTCATTTGAACACTTTGGACCAAAAACTCTCTCATTCTCTCTCTAGAACCTCTGCCCGTAAACTCCGAAAACACCCTCATTTCTCTTGGAAAACCATCAGGAAACACTTCTGGAGGTTGTGTAGGAGCATCTAAAACGCGTTTTCATTGAAATCAACATCACTGTTCTTGAGTTTACGGTCAGTCTTCATAGACCGTAAACCCGTTTACGGTTAAATCTTCAAGAACCGTAAACTCAGTTTACGACCGTAAACCCTAGTTCACGGTCGTAAACTGCCTGTCGACCGTAAATTCTCTTCTCGACCATAAACAACTTTTTCGTGGGGAAAAGCCTGTTTTCTCAATTCAACCAAGTCCCGATAAAATTCCTTAATCAAAACCAAGTGTTTATCTAACACTTTATCTAACGAAATCGCTAATTTAGATACATATATCTATTTATTTGATATTAGGATTCCGTTAAGTGACACACGCATCGATTTAAGGATCTTCCGGTTCAATCCTTTATGACCAACCAACTGTGAGTTTATACCCCTATGCTTTTATAAGTTTTTATAACGTTTTTCAGGGGGGGGGGGGAATACAAGTCACACATAAAGGTTTTCACATTTTAAAAACTGATGCAATTACAACGATTTTACATCAAATATTTAGATACCTTATCCCTTTTGTAATATGTGGACCATAAGGGACGTTTTCTAATCATAATTGCATAGTTTTCAAAACAGTATATGAACACAACTTATAAGTCAAACTATAATAGGTATAGTTTGGGGAATTCATTATCGGATTTAAAAATTTAATCTATGTACGAAGTCAACCCATAAACTATGACATATTTAGTTTATCCATTACTACATTCAGATAATGAGAGTATCTTACTAAATAATTATTTTGTGTATAATTATTTATAATCTACGCCGTATACAAACAATTTCGAACTCGAGAACAACAGAACAACACGTAAACTAGTTAATACAAGATTGTGAAAACCTATCTTCGTTATGCCCCTCGGGGTACCAGTAAATCCTCACCTTTAGTATAACAAGAGTCTCCTGGAGGGAGAGCGTGAAATTTGTGAATAGATCTATTCGGGACCGACAATCCCACACCTGAACTGTTAGCTACAGATAGGCGGGCATGCCTGGGGTGACAAATTTTGTAATCGTACGACGCCTGAAGAAACGTCAAGGAGCTCACCGGTCATATTAACATGGTTATACGACTCACAATAAGTATAAACAAACATTTGTTTACAAAATTTCTTTCTTCCATAGTTTTATTTTACTTAATAAAGCTACCTATCTAGTTACCGGAGGGTATTCCAGGGATCCAACCTTTGGTTTTATTTTAAGTAATAAAACTACTATACATACTGGTAGTAGCCAAGGTTTTCAAACAGATCATACACTACATACTGGTGGTAGCCAGGGTTTTGAACAGAACATACACTATATACCGGTGGTAGTCAAGGTTTCAAAAAGAATATACTTTTCATATAGTAACCAACAAACATGTTAGAAAATATTGGATTTTCTTGGAAAGCATGCATACATATTTTAGAACTTGATAACAATGGTTTTCGATACAAACGACATTTTACTTATAATGAAAAGAAACCATTTGTACAAATTCAATGACTAGTTTTCCATACAAAAACATGCTTATGAACCCACCATCTTTATGCTCATATGTTTTCAAAACCGCTTATATTCTCAGGACAACGATAGACTACTTTTGGAGAAGACGGATCATTTTGGAGTCTCGTCTTTATCTTTTGTTACTTTTGATGTACACAAACTATGTTTTCAAACAAATGTAAATATTCTTATTGTAATGTAATGGTTGTGTTTACTTTGATTGCTATGATACGATTGTTGTGATATTACGCATGACGTCGCCCGCCCCCGGACGTTTCCGCTGTTATTTCTGATGGTTCGGGGGTGTGACATCCTAAGTTTTTGTGAAGGAAAAAAACGTGAGGGAAAAACTATGGTGTCATGGTGTCACTTAAAAAGTGAAAGATGCTTCCTATACCGTTGGGTCGAATAAACAAGTAGTAACTCGCAAACACACTAAACTAAGGTGTCACTTCATTTATGTATTATTTTATCTTTTTCATAACATATGACTTGGAGCAAACTTATACCACATGACTGATTTTTTTCATGATAGGTTCGAGATCATGTGGCGCAATCTCCATTATTGATATCCTCGTGAAGTACTAGGGCTTTATTCTTGCACGACACAAGGAAAAGAAGTCCTTGAATTCCATAAGCTATATGAACACTACAAGCTTCTAATTAATCATGATAACTATCCTTCTCATATCATTTACTTCCATGTAGTGACGCGAAGAACCCAACTCTTATAATGCACAGACAAAATCCCCACTTGTCTCTATATCATCATCGATCTCAGCATCAGTATCGATATCATCTTCAAGATCCATATTCCTCTCTTTATCCTTAGTCCCCAATGTACATCTTCTAGCTTCTTGTAGTATTTCTTTTACTTCTTTGATACTTTGCAAAACATGGGTTTCCTTGTCCATATCCAAGATGGATTCATCTCCATCAATGAGTTCAACTGACAGCTCCTTCAAGAACCATGGATGCTTCTGAATCTCTGGTATAGTTATTCTCTATTTAAATATATAATTACATCCATAATTAGTTGATCCATATATGCTCTAGTTATGAGGCTAATGTCAATCTATTTAAAGCCAAATATTTTGTCCATAAAAGAGATTAAACAAAAAAGGATCATATTGTATTAACCTTTGAAGTAATTATGTACCTTATCGGGGCTCCCTACAAATATTCGAGATAGAAGATGCTTACAGTCCTCAGAAACTCGAACGTAGTCTGGGATTGAATATTGGACACTAAGTATACGCTGCCATAGTATGTTAATACAATGTTCTTAATTTATAAGATAAACAAGAACAAAGTTGAAGAGACTGAATTTTTCTTTTAGAAATAAAAATAAAAATAAAAAACTTTATAAAAGACTCACGGTGAGTGTTTTTCGGAAATTTTTCGGATCATCTTCATCTTCGAATGGATAAGCACCAACAAGCATCACATACAATGTAACCCCACAAGACCAAACATCTGCCATCTACATAGGTCTCCACAACCAACAATTATCTATCTATCATTTATTGTACCTAAACAAACTAAGGCCACAAATATATTGTTTTTGGAAGTTACCTTGCCATCATATTCTTTTCTTGACAAGACTTCGGGTGCAATATATGCAGGTGTCCCAACCGTAGATTTGGGCTGCGAGTGAAACACTGAGGACTAATAGGCCAAAATTTATGTGAAATGGAGTTAGCAAATATACGTATTTTGCATTATAATTAATTCAAGGAAGGAAAATGAATTAGTTTGAAGTACTCATAATGTATTATTGCCTTAGAGTATCCGAAGTCGCAAATTTTAAGACGTGGTGTTGAGCTCCCATCCAAAAGTGCATTTTCTAGTTTGAGATCTCTATGGCAAATTTGCTGCATAAGTTTTTTTTTTTATATTCATTATTTCAACACCGAAAATTGGGCTCACACGATTTTGTTAAACATGTAATAATAAGAGGATGCAAACAATAATTTTTGTAAGTGTTTATTAGGTCAAATAAACTATATACATATAAAGGTAAAAAAATTTATTGTGAATTTTTTCACTTCATAATGTTTTCACTATATTTAGAAGTTTAATGGATGTTGTTACTTGAATTTCTAGTACTATTTTAACCATTTGCTCCACAAATTCATAAATAACCATTGTAAAAAAGCTCATCTGTTTTGGATGTTTGTTAAAAAATTTCCATTTATGATATGGCTATGAGTTCTCATAAAAAAAAACTTATTAAAAACCACCCTACTGTATTGTGGATGCTCTAGTAATGACTTTGAATGCGAAGTATATTACCATTGAATGGCAGTAACTCACGCCTGATATTAGTTGTTGGAAGAAAAACCTTGCCTGAAGATTCCATTAATTTTATACCTATGTGAAAGAATACAAAAAAAAAAAAAAAAATCAAAGGATAAAAACAAATCAAAGAAACTGTACCTCGTCCTCACTGAATCTACCAGCAGTAGTAATTCTGTCGAACAACTCTCCTCCAGCTGCATACTCCATGACTATGGCCAGATGAGTTTCCGTTAGTAACACCTGCCCTTCTAAACATTCAGCATACACATATACAAACTCAAAAGCAAACATGTCTCGAATCAATAAGCTTAGAAAAATATTAATACAATTACCTCCTTGAATCTGATAATATGTGGATGCGTAAGTGACCTGTGGTTCAAAATCTCCCTTTCGACATGCTCATCAATCTGAAATCGTTTCAAAAACTTGAAGTGATGAATTAACTCATAAAAAGAATCTTGATAAACTCCAGAAAACAAGAAACCTTAGGGCCTCTCTCAATATACTTGACGGCATAAAGCTCGCCAGATTGTTTATCCTTTACAAGTTTTGCTACACCGAAGTTCCCCGATCCTATGTGTTTTAATTCCTCATACCTTTCCATTTCATTCAACAAACAATACGATCACTTGTGTAAAAGTTGATAATAACCAATCCGAAGATCATTATTTATGTATGATAGGGAAAACCGAGTTAGGCAATCTCTTTAATACCAAGTTTTCGGATTGGTGAGTGCACGGTGAAGCTTGCGTGATTGAACGTATGCTAGCTACGTAATTCCTTTGTCGGCAGCCAAAGAGGAGTTCGGGAATATCATCTACGCGTGGCAAAATGTTAGCGGTTGGGCTATTTAGTATTCCGATGTAATAGAATCATATCTATGTTTTATTTTTTTCTTTTTATTTTTTTCTTTTTATTTATTGCGGTGAGTACAATTATTCTTTGTTTGCTAATAAAACAATGTATTGGAAACTAATTCGTTTCCAACAAAATTTTTCCCTCTGCATTAAAGTTTTGTGTTGTACAACTTCATAAAACATAAATTATTGTATGTGGAGAAAAATTGTTGGTTTAGGAATAACTACACATTCATATTTCATATTGTTGAGGTATTTCTTAAGCAAAAACATCTTTGGTTCGAACCTTACCAATTTTTAAAGATTTCGTTAAATTTGTTGCATTACGTTCACATGAGCATATTTATTTTTTAAAGTTATACTTAATTTGTTATTTAGTACTCGTATCTTATTTAAAAAATAAAACTACAAAAATGGTCCTACCTTTTAGTTAGATTTACAAATTTAATGCAACATTTTGAAAGTTAATACTCCCTCCGTCTCAATATTATTGTCTACAGACAAAAAACACACAGATTAAGTAAAACATTAATTACCACTAACTTTATTTAATAAAATGACAGTTTTGTCCTTACTTTGCATTTAATATTCCATTAAATGCTTAGTTAGTTAAGTAATAATGAGGGGTATTTTGGTAAAAATGTCATTTATTTTTAGAAGTGGACAATTATTTTGGAACAAACCAAAAAGGAAAGATGGACTATAATTTTGGGATGGAGGGAGTAGTTTACAACTTTGCGGTTTCCAAAACATACACTGTCAGTCCTTCCATAAAAGGATATTAAAAAAACTACAATAAAAGCATATTATTAAGGTCGGACGAAGTGGAGAGCAGGAAAACCAGGGGATCATTTCCGACACGAAGAAATATCACACTGTGGGTGCAGGAAAGGGAACGCGGGAAGAGGGTGGGGGGAGAGAGTCCAACTCTCTCTATCTCTCTCTCTTAAAACGATTGGCTAGTTTTTTTTTAATTTTTTTTTTAATTTATTTATTTATTTATTTATTCCAAACCGATATATATATATATATATATATATATATATATATATATATATATATATATATATATATATATATATATATATATATATATATTATATTCTTTTTCTTTCCCTTTTCTTAACCTATAAATACTATAACATTTTTTTTAACCAATAATCTATATTTCTCTCCAAAAAATATTATTCAAAATGTCATCATCTTCATTATCCGATTCGACGGCTGTAGAGGTGACTAAATTTATCGGTTCCGTCATGGCGAAAACGGTTACATACTATCGAAACCGACTAGGCGAAACATCACGTGCACAACCTAAGCTAAAAAAGTCTTCGTTGCGTAGAAATCACGAAGCCGGACACGATCGCCTTATAGAATATTATTTTGCAGATGACGTCATCTACGCTGTAAAGTTTCGGCGTCGGTTCCGGATGAGGAATGCACTATTCTTACGTATTGTTGACGATTTGGAAGGCCGTTTTCCATATTTCCAATGGAAAATGGATGCAAGGCGGAAAAAAGGTTTCTCTCCCATTCAAAAACGCACGACTGCAATTCGTCAGCTAGCATATTGTATAGGCACAGACAAATGAGACAAATATTTTAGAATGTCAGAGCGTACCGTGCAGGAGTGACGTAATTTGGTTTATATGAAAGTAGGATATTAATTATGTTTTCTATGTTGCGAGTTTTTTTTTTTTTTTTTTTTTTTTTTTTTTTTTTTTTTTTTTTTTTTTTGCGTGTTTTTTTCTACTTATTTAAATATTAGGTTTAATGTAATTTTTATTTTAATTAATGAAATGTTTTTTATTTTTAATTAAATTTTATGTTTAGTATTAATTTAAAAATTATAAATCATAAAAAAAATTAATTTTATTTAATAAAAAAAGTGAGGGAAGAGAAGTTAGAGAAAATAAGGTATGACCCATTCCTTAGGTTCTAGGTGAATGGAAAGAAGTGAGAGAAAATATCATATGACCTACAAAAAGTCAGAGAAGCTTCCATTCAACACCCTCTGGTCTAATATATCCTTTTAGACAAAATTTCAAAAGGGATCCTAATTTAATTTAGTTTTTTCGTTCTTTGTTTTTTATTAGACAGGCGCAACAATGTGCAACACTGATACCGAAATTTAGAACAGTTGATTGTTAGGAAAAACAATCTAAATTAGAAAGAATATATGAATTCTTAAATTAGAAAGAATATTTATAAGTATTGTTAGGAAAAACAATATAAATTAGAAAACATTTATAAGAACATTTATAAGTATTGTTAGGAAAAACAATCTAAATTAGAAATAATATATGAATTTTATAAGAAATCCAAAAAAAAAAATCGTGAAACCGCGTGCACCGGACAGATGCGCAGCGCGCATCGACACACCACCCAAATCGAGACACGTCGCGCCATAGGAAAGTGACACGCACCACTTCCGACCATATGCGTGGCGCGTAGGGAACACAGTGAGCGGTGCAGACTCATTTTCTACCTATAAATTGACATGATTTTCATCTTCATCCTCACCCCCTCACTTAAATTCTCTCTGAATCTATTCGAGCTTTTCAGCCCTTTTACTCTCTAATTCCAAACTACTTTAGCGAACCCTTACGGTGTCAGATTTTTGGAGAATAGAATCTCTCAGGTTAGATTTCTGCCCGTATAATTCTCGGTTTTCGTTAGATTATTCTATAAGTCAAATTATGCTTATTTATTTTAATTGTAACTTTTAATTATAGTCATAGTGGTTATTATGAACCTGTAATTAAGATTTATGAGTGATTCCAAGTCTTTATTCTGATTAATCTACTTACGAGAGTGATGTCTAGGATGGATTTAGTGAGGTGTTTAAAGTAAGATTTCCAAACAGTATACTATATATACCAAACAGACTCTACCTCCCATATAATCTTATCTGGTTATTTCTTACTTTAAAGATCTTGATGTAGACATTAGGTTTATTGAGGAATGTAGACTACCATTAAATAGCTTCTAAGATAATGAAACTAGACTAGGACTTAGTACCTTATACGTCTAGGTCATTGGGAAGTGTTAAGGCGAAGCATTGCCCTACCCTCCAGTCACCTACTTTTGTCAGGTGAATTTGTAGTTAATATCCAGTGCATAATATTAATAAAAGTATTTATACCTAGGAAAATTATTTCTTACCTAAGTTATATGTATTCTATGTTATTTATATAACTATGATAGTATTGCCTAACAGGGACTGCAATGGACATAATTGCCTTTACTATAAGTCCGAATTAGTTATAATAGGACTTTTATAAGGTGTTTAGTTCCTAATAAGCTGGATATTGACTAGGTCTAATTCTAGGCTAGAGTGGGTCCGGATCAGACAACTAGCAAGTATCTTTGGGTCATCGACCATAGTAGATGACAATACTTGACTATTTTAGGCGGTCTAACAAGTTACGTTTCTAGTGTGGGCCTATAACCCACAAGAGTAAATAAAATATTTATCAATCACTTTAAACATTGGTTGAGTTTATATGACTTATATTGTCTATGAACTCCCCTAACTGTGTAGTCAACCAAATACTCAAACGGTTTATCAGGTAAGGTGATTCCTCCAGATAATTGTTGACTTAGGATTCATGAGGAATCAGTTGGGCTAGGTAGAATGTATTAAGGACATTTATGTCAAATTTTATATACCTATATAATTTGTGAATGAGTTTTTTACAGGAAAAACACTACGATTTATTATCATTAATTATTATGAGCTTAAAAACCCTATGCATATCACCAGGTTTCTCCAACCCGACCCACAAATTTTATGTGCATCACATGTAGTGGTCGTAAGGCTGCTGAAGCTTAGTTAGGTTACCGAGTGAAATAAGAAATGTACAAGTTATAGTATTTTAGGACCTTTTATATATTTACGATGTAATGTACGCTTCGATATGAACAATGACTTCCTCGAAATTTAATATAACGAAATAACTTTAGTTATCGCAATATGTTTTAATTAACTATGAATTTCCGCATCTCAATTAAACAAAGCATAAATAAAAAGTGTTAACTGGTTCTGAAAATTGGGGATGTCACAGTTGGTCTTAGAGAATTACGTTAAGTGAACTAGGAATTTAGGTAAATTCTAGACATAAAAATAGAATGTAAGTGTGAATGGTTAGTTGTGCAATAGAATGCTTTATGGTACATACCTTAGTTGCTTTAGACATTAGTGCTAGCATATTATAGGAAGATGCCTTAAAATCTAATTTCATGCTAGATATGTATGTGTATAGTAAGTAATATATCACCTTATAAAACAACTCACCTCTACGACTATAGTATGTCATGATAATCACGAGGAGTGGTAGAGTCGTCAAAAACGAAGGAGGTCAAGCACCTCAAAATTTCGGAGCAGGAGCTGCTTAGTTCATAATGAATGAAGCTAGGGCAATGACGCAAGAAATGCTCAATCAACGATGCGAGTTTCGGGAGCTCTTACTTCAGGAACTAGCTAACGCTAGAGGAGGAGTGCTTGTGATGAAAGAGTCGGTGGTTGTTGAAAAAGTTAACAATCGACCGATTCCTTCTCGTCCAGAAACAGTTCATGAAGGAACCAATGATGACTTGGAAAGCTATCAAGTACCAGAGCAACCAGAGGTCCTAAGGAATAATGAACCTAAGGGCTATTGCAAGTATAAGGACTTCATGAATTGCAAGTCATCATCATTCAACCGTAAGGAGGATCTAAGTGGGAGTAATGGACTAAATCTTGGAAATGGAAATGGCTTTCGTTACATGTGGTTGCACTGGCAAGATTCAAACCACCTATGTTGTGAGGCAATTTAAGGGTGCATCAATCAGGTTGTGGAACACATTGGGGAAAACATTAAGCCCTAACAAGCCATTGCAACTAATGTGGGAAGAGTTTTTGAGCCACTCTAAGAGGAAGTTTTATTCACCTGAGGACATGTTGGAGTTGGCGAATAAGCTCCTAACATTGAAAAAGGGAAGCATGACAGTTTATGAGTATACCGATGCTCTCACTGACAAAATGGAGTTTGCACTACGAGTGGTCCCTGATGAACTGGCCAAGATTGATAGGTACTCCAAGGGACTACCATGGGAGTATTTTGTACTGGTAAAGCAGGCACCGACTTTTAAGGCAACTATCTGGGTTGCAAAGTTGTGGAGAATATGATTTAGAAAAGGACCATCAAAATAGCTGATGTTGGTGAGAAGAGGAAAGTTGATGGGTCCTAAAGAAACAACAATAACAACAACAACAATAACAACAACAACAACAAAAACAAAAACAAGTTTTTGTAGTTAAGCAGTATGCCTAAAAGAATCCAAGAAAGGAAGTGGTGCGATCAGTGAAAGAAAAAGCAATTCAATGACTTTGTCTTCTGCTTTAAGTGTAAGAAGCCAGGGTATATTTCTACAAATTTCCTAGTGCAAGGAAAAGTTTTTTTCAATTGTGTAGAGGAGGGGCACATGAAGGTGGATTAGCCAAAAGCTAACAATAAAACTCCGAGAATCTTGCCACCAATGCCTAAGGGTCGAAACTACCAGATGACCCTCAATGAAACAAATGAAGACACTGATGCTACTTCATGTACATTCTTAGTTAATTAAATTCCTGCAAATATTTTTTTTTATGGAGCAGATATTCATTTATATCGCTTGAATTTAGTAGAAAACTGAGATTATCACTACTTAGGCTAAGTACCCCTATCTTAGTAGAAGTAGCTGGTGGTAGGAATGTATATGTTTGCAATAGGCTAGAGAGCTTTTACCTTTCGATTTAAGTATGTTCGATGTAATTCTCGGAATGGATTAAGAGGGGGAAAACATCACATAGATTTTATGCAGACGGAAGATAGTGCATATCAACCCACTGGAAGAGAGCCATTCGTCATATACAGAGACAAGAGTAGAATAAAATATGGAATCTTCCTGATGATGAAAGGCAGAAAATGCCTAGTCAAGGGATTGTTAGAACATGAAAAGTGATCCTTAAGCAATCCGAAGTGAAGCATTTCATAGGTGATGATTTCCGAAGTCATGATCATTCCGAAGATACAGTACAGTCCGAGATGCATCTAAGTGTCAAAGTGTTTTTGAGTCTGTAATTTACATTAATTACTACAAGTATTATTATTTTTTTGTTCCCATTGTCTTATTGTATCATACATGAGGCAGGATTAGCTACAATGGTTGTGTCAGTATATTGATCTTCAGACCTAATTTTTTCTTTAGTGCCTGGCGTAGATTTTGGAGAAGATTTTAAAATTCATTTGTGGTTTGGCACAGATTTTAAAATTGATTTTGACACGTTTTAAAATCCATTTGTCGTTTGGCTACTGTATGGAGTGCTATCTATATATTCATAGATTGAAAATAAAAATTTTAGACTAGTCTTGCTAGTGTATGTTTTTCTTTCCTCGTGTTTGGTTTTTTTGATTTGATAGTTTTTCCAATTATGTGTGAATTTAGTTTTTGGTTGTTTCTTAATTGAATCTTCATTTCTGGTATTCATGTTTGTATGTTTATACATTGAGACCTTTGATGAAATTTTGATTAGACCGGTTGTTTAGGGTGTTGTCATGATATAGATAGGTTGCTTTCTTTTTTTGGATTTTGGATCAGAATGTTGTGTAATGTTGAGATGAGTTCATCCCTTTGAAAAATTTTCCTCTACTTTTGTCTTGCGTTTGTGTGGTGGTTTCTTGATACGTTTCTCCTGGGTTCTTTGGAGTTGTTGACATAATTTCTTGATCTTCCCTGGTTCTATTTGTGCTCCTGGTTGCTGATTGCTTTTTAAATGTTGGTGGGGTTTATTGGTTTCTTGACCATTTTTCCCCTGTGTTGGGTTATTGGTGTTGCGTCTTGGGCTCACTTCCTAGTCCATTCTTTGTGCGGTATGGGCCTGTCCATCCGTATCTTATTTTCTAGGGTTTGTGTATTTATAGATGCTTGCATGCATCTTTTACGTAACCGATTGATTAGAGTTTTACAGTATAATTATAGAAGTTATCTTTTTGTAACCTAAGAATCCTCTACAGCGGAAGTTCTTCATCGAGTTCTGCTGAGGATTGAAAGTTTAATCATTCGACAGATTCAAATCCATTCTTGAGTATTGCTTTACATTCTTTATATACCTGTTTCAAAGCTCTATTCGATCATAAAGGTTTTTATCTCATCAATTGGTATCAGAGCGGGAGGCTGTGTAATTCATACACATCTCTTCTGTGAAAGAAGCTATTAGGGTTTGTTCCACATTAACTAATATTTATTTAGCCGTCACCCCATAATTGACGTATCTCATTACTTGTTCGTTTTGCTCTAATATTATATATTACAAGTCTGATCTTTCAAACAGGTTATTCGATCAAGCATGGACGAGTCTCCATCTAATCCCATTAATATTTCGAACAGCATTGGATCAACAACGAAGATTCCCATCCTTTACACCCAAGATTATGAAGTCTGGGCAAATCACTTTGAAG